ATTAAAAAACACAAGACAAACGAATCAAACTAAAATATGTCAAGGATGGTTGGCTGTAGAGAAGCCAGAGCTGATATCACATTTGCCGTATTAAAGCCAGCCAGCGGCTCCTCTCCTTTGCACCAGTCAACTGGCTATAGACAGGCAGGCAGATAGTCAATACAATGCTGGAGGGCCCGAGGGCCAGATCAGTTACCATGCCTCTGACTGGGCAGGGGTGAGCTGAGGCCAGATGGACAGTGATCCCACACCTCGCCTGCCTCTCTGACAGTCACACCCCTGATCTGTGCAAACCACACACAAACCCATTACTGGATACACACAGGATTGACTTTCTCTTGCATATCGAGAGGCAGAGCAGGGGATGAGAACAGGATATGCCCGGCGTGCTCAACACAAACAAACACACCCATATAGCTGCTGTGCACTCTGATTCACCTCAGACAGACCTGGATCAATAACTAAATGGATCAAAATATACGGCTTTGCTTCGGTAGAGACAGCTGCTACACACAGCAAATGGGGTCAAGCTGAGGAAACATGCTCATCATACAATATACTTGTGCACCGTCTCTTTTTAAACAGTTAAAACACACACACACACACACACACACACACACACACACACACACACACACACCCCTTCTTGTTAGCTGCAAATATGCCAGATCTATACAATGCTGCATTATGTAACAATGCAAATACTGACCCAAATTCACCCTTTAAAATTTTTTTTTAAGGTCTTCATTGGCAAGACAATGCTGAATGTCTACAAGATAGCATGCAAGACTCCCAAAATGAGCTAACAAACAGACTATAAAAGTGCTGAATTACTCTTTCAATAATTACAGTGCACTGAGCCCAGCTTCACAGTCCCAGACAGACTGAGTGCCTAAAAATGCAGCGCCAGCGTCCACCGCTTTATCCTAATGGGCAGGAGAGTGCCAGCCTCCAAACCACAGTGACGAGAGTTACAGCACTACACCATCTTACCATCCCACAGCTGCACAGCCAGGAGCAACACAGGGGATGCACAAGAAACCTGAGGGTGAATAATGAAATGTAGTTTAACCCTGAATGTCATCTAAAGCAGATGCAGCAAAGCACGAAGGAGCTGAATATCCACAGGGGTGGGTCTGAGCCTGACACTGGTTGCAGGCTGTAAAAGCAGCTGACTTCCAAGCAGATGCAAATGCTCTGCCCTGTGCAAGAGCTGTGCTGTCCTTTCAGCTGTTCTCAGACAAGGTACAAGCTGAAGAGTGCCAATGTCCCTGTGGTATACATGATAGCTTTTATAAATTCACTAAGAGCTGAAACAATTAGTCAATGGGCAACAATTTTCATATTAAATTAGCTTTTTTTTTTAAAATAAACTTCCCAACATTTTCTGGTTCCAGCTTCTCAAACCTGAATGTGAATTTGAGCTTTATCTTCTCCATAATGGCTATAAAAACACCAAAACACTGATGCTTCTTGATACGGCAGGGTCAAATTGGTGAGTACATTCTGTTCTCAGTGTTGAATCACGGTGGAGAAAAGATCTGAACCCATGACCTCAACATCCACAACCATTATAACCTCTCACAGCTGTTGCACTGATGCACATGAACCAACACTAAGCTGAATAAACAGCACAGACCATCAGCCCCCCAGATGTATTAATCCAACAGCAAATCACACCATTTAACAGAGGGAAGCTGAAACTACAAACAGAAGCAACTAGTCTTTGTTCACAGGTCTGTCATCTCAGATAAAATCAACTTTCTGGCAGGTTGGCGTAGGTTGCTGAATCTGACACAGCTTCACAAGCTTAAGAAGAGCTCTCAAGTAGATGAGCATAAAGTATTCAGGGTGTTCAAAGTATTTCAGTGACGATACAGGGCAGGTATTTCACCCACTCAGTTACAGAGCATTAGCCTAGATTTGCTTCTTAATGTTTGGCATTTTGAACAGTCACACGACCACAAATGTAGCAATGTCAACCACCTGCATTTTTTCAGACTGTCGCGCCAGAAATAAACACCCCATTAGGCGCCACAGACCAGCCTGAGTCATAGATGTAGCCATTTTTAAGTTGACAAAACTAAAGAGAGACAACATACTATGAACTTGAGGCAATCCTGCAAACCAACAGATAAAGGAATAAACTTAGAAAAGTAAAAAGTTCTAGCAGTTGTAGATCATTAAGTTACTGTAAATATTATGACTGTGACAAACCGTGTTCAGAGCAGTCAGGGTTTATAAAGTACTTCCTTTGCTTAATGCTTGCAGTTTCCTCTTTTGTAAACCACCTTGTCCAATCCCTTGAGACTTATCTCAAGGTTATAGGATGCAGTGAAATGAGAGAACTATTTTGAGCAACTCTTCTGGCTTGCTTTGGCCTTTAGGAAGCGGAAAGGGAAACAGAGGTGTTGACAGTGGAAGTTGCTGTGCAGAATGAAAACACAGGGCTGTGTCCCAATTCAGACGTTGGGTCTGGCTAAATCCGTGGGTCTTACACAGAAACTGAGGGGCAGGCAAAACCTGTTCCTGATCCTCTGGAAATAACATAGTCTAGCCTCAAAAAGACACAAAAAATAACAGTCGACTTAGAGGGATCGACGAAAATGCTTCCCTTGACCTGTTCTTTTTAGGGCTATTTGAAAGCTAAAAACTTAAAATTGATTTATCACCTTGAGCTCATTACCTTTTCTGATATCTCTTAAGAATTGCTTATAAACGTGATGATTCTGAAATGATGACATGGTTCAAAAGTATGTTAGAAGAAAACAGATTACTCCTGTTTCTCAGAAAAGCCAGCTGTGAAATGTGGTTAAATATAATAGATTTCACATACTCTATATCGGTGACTGACATTGACAGTACTTCTTACTCAGCACTTCTTCTCCCAAATCCCTTAGAGGTCTAACAGGAAGTCAGTTACATAAGCAGTGTCACAATGTAGGACAATACACTGTATGTTTCTGTCTGTAAGAGACTATGGCAAACAAAAGGAATATATACATTCCTGACATCAAAGGCCCACTTTGTGGCAAAGGGAAGAACATCTGGGCTTTACATTTCAATTTGGGGGGTTAATAATGTCAGAGGTAAAAAACCAAAAAGTATTTAGAAAGAAAAGTGTTAGAATTGCAGTCATTATATTTTATACATCTTGTCAGTTGGACTCCAAACACTAAGGAAGTAAAGCCAATCTCAACAAAACGCTAGGGTTTAAATAGCTCGTAGAGGAAGTTACAAGATTTCATTTGAACTTGTGATGGCTGACTGGCACCAGTGACTGTTGACCAACTAAGTGCAAATACCTGATAAATATAATGCAGCCCCATGATGTTTCCCAACGTTACTCATTAACAAAGCTCACCTTAACGCACCATTAAGAGCGTTGACCAGTGCACAATGGATTGTGGAATACTGCGGGCCACAAACGCTACACCAGTTGATTTTCAAAAGGGAGAAGAGGAGCACACTGATCAATTTACAACCTGTGATAGCACAAACAGACCAGATACACCAGCTGACTACTTCATATTCAGGCAAAGAAGGCTGCATCTCTGTGCCCTTGGTATGGGACATAGCATCAGTGATCCTTCAATGAGCGCTTGGAGCTCAGCCATAACGTCAGTAACAGTGTTATGGAAAGAGGGATCGAAAACCACATGCATGTGTCATTCACACATGGTTTCACACCCAGGCGAGAAACTCCTCAGCAACAACACACACACCCTCTGGCAGCAGTGGCACGAGGGTTTCAGGAAGCGACACAACCCCAGTGAGTGTCGGCATGTCAAATATCTTTTTAAACCCAGAGAGAGTCACTGCTCCCACACCCAAACCCTGCCCGCCACACCCACACAGCCCAAAACACACTGATTATGTAATGCAGACTGTGAGCCAAAACCTGACTGATAAACAGCATCCCTCTATCACTGAGATCTGCAGACGGTGCCGTCTGATAGTCTGACTCTGAGCTCTCTGTATTCTTCGCTTTTCTCATGTGGCTCTGCCAAATCAAGAATGAGATCACTCCACGTGCAGGGATGCAAATACCAAAACAGAGATGATGGTTATCTTGGAAAGAAACAACTGAAAAGGCACTGAAGGACTTGGGTGTGCAGACAAGAAATCCAGGGTGCAAGCTACGTCAAAATGACTTATTTAAATCAGTGATGTGTGAATTCTGCTCATGCATACATTTTAGCAAAGCAGTTAATGAACAAATGATAAACAAAGACATGGCCTCCCCAGATAAACTGAAAAAAGAGCCCAGATGAGATATTTTCAATCAGTTCATTGACAGGAAATGCTACTATATTTTAAACACATGGAAGAGATGGATTTGTAGATATTCTCCCACCACACTGTAATGCTGTATTGTTTGGATCCCTGTCAACAACCCCTATGTGGTCCCAGGACCCCACGTTTGAAGTCATTGTTATGAGAGTTTCAGGGTGTTTTTTCATGCCTCAAGAGGAGCTTTAATAACACCATTTGTCTCTGAGCACAAACACGCTGAACTCTCCCAGGTTTAGCAAAGGGCCCAGCATAGCCTCACAGAACAATAGCGGTGTACGCTGGAGCAGCCTGCTGAGGGAAACACATGAAGCCAGTCAAAAAACTAAACCAGATACAAGTGAGACCGTGCCAGCTGAGTCTCGTACCAGTGCACACCAAAACAAATGGCGGTTTGAGAGTCAAACACGTTGAAACCACCGCCCAGCCGTTTCGTACCATGCTAACGTTACACATCCATCATCACATCCAGCCACACACTGGACTCTCCACAATGCAAACAGGGCGTCTGGCTTCACAACAAATGATGTTTGGTTCATTTAAAATTCGCACAAAATACCAGGGTGAGCTCCTCGGAGCAAAAACAGTCATTTTCGATGTACTTTACGGATAAAGTGGCACAAAGAAACGAGAAGGTGATGCAGCGTAACTTCAATTTATAATTGCGCTCGCGCAAAAAACGTTACAACGTCATAAATTGCCCGTACCTTCAAACTGCCGACTCTGTTCCTGGAGGCTCCTGGAGAAACAAACAGTCCCTCCCTGTCGGTCCAGCGCTGAGGGAAGATGCACTAAATATGTCGACAGAGCCGTAAATTTCACCAGACTAACAATAACCCCGCGCAGTCAGCGACGAGCGTCGCTCTCCGTGTCCTTCCCTCCACGTTTGAGCGGCGGTAAGCGGCGGCAGGCTGCTCCCCTTCATGTAGGATGGACCCAGGCGGGAGGAGGGGGGGACGGGGGAGTGACCGAGGAGTCCGGCGGCAGATTGAAGACGAAGCGTGGTGGTCATAAAGAGGATGCATATTAAATCCCGCGAGCGGTCCAATCAACAGCGCGAGACTGGTGGCTATGCAAAGCAGCAGTGACGTCAAATTCAAAAGCAAGCTCGAGCCTTGGGGTCCGAGGCCACCTAGGGGTGCTGAGAAGAGTGTCGTGGGGATTTAGGAGTAGTTTAATTGTTTAAAAACGAAGGCCAAGGAGCGTTTATGATGTATGTAACACAGCTTTGTTGTTATGATGAAAATACACAAAACAAAAAACTTTAAAAGGCAGTAGCAAAACTAGGGTGCATCTTTTAATAGAAAGAATCACTAAATAATTAAATTCCAACAAGCAAGCAAAACATCCTCAAGCTGAATCGTCCAACAGAAAGCCAGTGAAAAGAGGTTAAAGGGCTATTCCAGCAATTTAATATTGCACTTTCATAAAGTTGGGGGACTCACAAGAAGCAAACTTGAAGCACTAGAGGCTGAGATATCCTGATTTGTGTCCTTTTGTCCCTACTATGGGTCAAACTACAAAATAAATACATAAAAATCCTACATTTCCCATGATAGCATTATTTCTTTTGACCCTGAAATGCCCATGTTACTATTGTTTGCACCAAATACATTTTGATTCTCAGTTCAAGCTGGGATAACCCTGATTACCATGTTTCTTTTTCAGTCTCCAGGAGACGGGATAACAAACTACCACAGTTTCACTTCTCTTGTGGTACTATATAAGAAACAACAAAAAGAGGCTCCTGTCAGTGGTGTCTGATGATAGAAGAAGCAGTAGAATATTAACTAATGATCTATGTTGGAAATGCCAACACAGTATTTGGGATTGTCCATTTATTTGGCCCTTTTGGAGTAAAATTCTTAGACACATGAGTAAATGGCTCGGTAAGACTTTGCCAGTATCCCAAAGACTGTGTTTATTTGGGGGACAGATCACAAGTACATAGGGATGAATTCACCGTAGCTATAGTTGGAGTCATTACAGCTGCTAGAACAATACTCAGGTATTAGAAGTCAATGAAACCCCCAGAAATAAAAGAATGGGTCGACTATATGACAAAAACTGCCTCTTATGAATCAATGCTGACTAGGATGACTAACCAGGCTCAAGGACCAATCTGGGGGGATTTTTGGAATTATTTTGCATTGTCTGCGGGCCTGGAAGTGTGATTTTTGTTTTGTCTTTCCCTGGAAATTGTTTTGGTTTTGTTTATTCCTTTTTTAAACAAATATCACTGTTAATTTTAATGTGTTAATTTATTCAAATTTTATTTAGTTATTTTGATTGTTTTTTGGCAGATTGGGACTGGTGCTGTACCCCCTCTTGAACGGATCACTGTTACCCTGTTTGTATTATTTTTGCTAGTCAAGATCCAATGTCTCATTTGACATGTAGATCGGCCATGTTTCTGTTTCATTATTTTCCTTTATTATTGTTACTTGGCAGGTAAAATTATATGTGACACCAGCTATACCACAACAAAAAAACTCAGGGGCTTTATCACATGGAAATCAGGAGTATTTTAATCTGTGGAAGTAATTGCAATGAGGCTTCAGTAATTCCATTGTTGCCACCTACTGTGTAGGTCAAGTGTGTGATTCACTGTCATTCTCTACCAAGGAGCAACACAATCTCATCAGACTGGGTTTCCCAGAAATATCTGTTTGGGTGCTTTAGGCATGAAATGAATAAGAAATAAATCATTGACACTCCACATGCACTCCCTGGGTTTTTCTTCCACCCGCATGTTTACTCTCTGTGCTTGAAATGAAATTTGAGCCACCAAGTTGCATGGTTAATATTATTCTGTCTGCACATACACACAGGGGTTTTCTGTTTCCTGAGATTTGGATTGCTGGGAGTACGCCTGAATAAAAACGTATTCTTTCAGAATGTGAAAGTTCACATCTCTGTGCTTGTAGTTCAGCACAGTGTCCACTTCCCTATGGTACAAGCCCACAATAGTTGAGTTGAATGCTTTTTTTAAGCTGCAGCTGCAGACTCCACAATAGAAATTGATGAAAAGGGAGAAGACATACAAAGACTATTGCAACTCACAGAGAGAGGAAATAGTGAATGGTTGAAGACATCTGACATCAACTGTTGTTTTCTCCAATAAAGCTCAGAGACGGGGGAAAGAATGGCGATATTAAGAGGAAACAGCCCGGGGCGAAGAGAAATTTAAAACTTTGTGAGTTAAAGGAGAAATGAAGGCTTACCAGAAACCATTAACCACAGACCCGTCAGTGAACACGTTCTCAATGTGCCTCAATGGAGAGTGAGAGTGTGTGAGTCATGTTTCAGCTCTGCGTCTCCATCCCTGCTCCTTACAGGACTCTGGCAGATGTTTCATCAGCAGCTTGTCAGCCCTTCCAATCTGCGAGGGGGAAACCCAAAACTCTCCCTTAAGTTTAATTCCTCATCTTAAACTCGTTGTTAGTGAGCAGTTTGAAGAATTAATTTGCAGAAAAACATTAAATAATTTCAATTTTAATGCAGATCTGAGTCCAGAAACCAAATTTTTGCCACAGGTAGCTGCCTCTTGGGTGTGGATCCACCAGAAGTATGTCAGTAAACCGTTTTAGACTCCTTCTTTTATTCAACCAAACTCAGCACTAATGGCGTCCATCATTATATCACAGAGCTGAAAAAGCTACTAAATCCTCTCACATCCTGCCCATCCATTTCAGATTGCTTCATAATGTTGTTACACAAGGGTGTGGCTCAGCACTGCAGGGCTCTGCTAGAAATCCTTAACAGAATTAGGATAGACGTATAATCTACGGAGCTTTTATACACAGACTTAGCTTCTTTTAAATCTGTTTCTTGAGTGTGGTCTGGTCACCCATCTGCCCAAACACCTAGTAGCGTGGACAGCTGCACACACTGCCTGTGGCACAAAACACACTCTGCAAGCCCACACACAAACACACACTGTCAAACTCAGTAGACGATACAAGACAGGAAAAGGAAACTGCTGCTGCTGCTGCAGGCCTGCAGTTTTGATCTGAGGTGCTTTGTTAATATAAAAAGGCCCTGAACTTCAAACAGCGAGCCACAAGTGACTGGGTTTTAATTCAAGCTGAGATCAAACTTGCATCAACAAAGCACCACACCCGAGCTCAGCACACTGAAACTCAAACTGATGGACCATTAGCAGCTTCTGGAGCAAGATAATACTTCAGGGCTTTCACTGTACATCAAAGGCACTAAGTAAAAGTAGTCTGGCGTATACAGACGTCATGTCAAAAAAAGAAAAACCTGCCAAAAATGCTAATTCTCTACTGTAAGAGAAACAAATGAAACATTTCTATGAGGCATATTCAGCTCTGCATCCTACATTTGGCTTCCCTCTCACACAGTCTGACATGAAGCATCAAGGCGTCGCTAAAGCAGTACATAATGTATGATGATATTAGAGTTAAGTGGGTGGAAGGCTGTGGAAGATGTGCTACATCAGCTGCCAAGCCTCACTTGGGAAGCTCAATAAGCAGGAAATGAGCTCATCATATCGGACTGTTGCAGAAAAAGAAAAAAAAAAAAAACGCCAGAGATGTAATTTCCTCTCTCTGACAGCTCTGAGCTGCAGTGTGTCCACTAAAACATGCAGGGTATTCAAAACAGCTGTGTTTAACTGTGTGTTACATCGAAGGGTTTATTTAAAAATCAAGAATCAGTTTGTTTTAAAACCTCCATGTGGCTTTTTAATCTGCCAACCAAGTAGGAAATCAAACTTGTAGACATGAACTCCCCCTTGTGACAATCCACAGGAACTGCACCTGAAGTCCTGTAAATCCTATAAAACCACAAAACAAAATGAAATAACACATCATAATATCAAAGATGATCCTTGACACTTTAATCAGTACATTGGCAACATATATATGACACCACAAAGATGACTCACATTGTTATATTTGCATTTCTCAAGTGCAAATCATTTGTATAAAAACATCAAACTGTAGGAAAGGTACATCTAGTTAACACTAGATCATATATACATGCATGACAGAAAAATCAAAGTTAAGGCTATGGACACATTTGGCACATGTTTGCCATCTAGATCCAAAGTCCACCATCATAATCAGTTTTAATGTGACCCTGCTGGTTTATTAGTCACCTGTCACTGTTTGGACGAGAGATCGTGGCCCAATCCCAATGTCTCCCTCCCGCAGACCTTAAGCCCTGAACCCTGAGGGACTGTACTGATGTCACCTGGTAAAAATGAGAGCAGGAGACTGCAAGGGTTCAAAATAGTGTGAATAGGAATGGCAACACTTTGTGGCAACACAGCATGCTACCTTGAGGATGCCAAAAAATGTTATGTACGGTACAATTGTGGGTCTGGGACTTTTTATTTTTTACCTTGTTAACAGCCAAGGTACTTTAAGGGTCGGTCCCTAATTTGAACGGCTTTCAGGCTCTTGCCTCACAGAGTGGATGAGAGGTAACTGTCAAATAGTTAATTTATTATTTTGTCAATAAATAAACTTGGTATGTAATAAAATCTATCCCTGCATTCTTATGATTTCATGTGTTTTTCAATGGATCAATACATCCTTAATGTAGTGTTTCTGTGTAAATGTTATGTGCCAGGCTCAACACCCATCTGTCAGCCCCTCCTGTCCCTGGTAAGCCAGTGTTTAAATGTCCCAACACTATGAATTGCCGCTAATTTTCTCAGGCAAAGTCTGCACAAATCTTGACTTACTGAAAGCGTTCATAAAGGGCTTAAAATGTCTTGACAGTGACAGCCCTAAACCCTCACACACTTTGCAGGAATGTGCCTCAAAGTCTATGAGAGTGCGGTGATTCGCATTGGGCCATCTTCTCTTCATAAAATAAACTATCTCCCAAAAAACACCTCCCGGAGTCCAGACTGTGGGACTCCGTCAGATATTGTGCGTTCTGTGCGGTACAAAGAAAAAGAAATTCAAGCGTCCACAAAGGATCCAGTCATTGGACCACAGCTCTAGACATCATTACAAAGACAGCAA